AGTTTAGCTCAGTTCTCACACGACGAATTGTGGCTCTTGCCAAACCAGCGTCCCGAATGGTATGTTGTCGGCGAGTTTCCTTGGCTTCCAACACTTGTATATGCAACTTTTCTGTGTAGTTTTTCTATGTAGTTCATTCTGGTCAACTCGAAACAGCCACCTTTGCAGCTCATTTGACATGACCACGAAGTTTGAACCGTTGTCGGAGTAAATTTTGTTCGGGGCTCCGCGCCTGCTAATCAACCTTTGGAGTACCATCAGGAAAGCTTCAGTAGACAAACTGTGTACTATCTCTAACTGCACCGTGCAAGACTGTATGCAGGTAGACAAACACCGGTACTGCTTCGTCACCGATCTCCGGCACTTCACCAGCAAGGGGCTGAAATAATCCATTCCGGTCTTTGCGAACGGATACCACCTCTTTCGAACCTTGAATTCGGGTAAGGGTGCCATCGGCTGCATTCCAGTTACCGCGTTTTGGCGTCAACAGAACATACATCTACTGATGATCCCTTTTGTTGCGGTTCTACCGCGTGTTATCCAATATCTTTCCTGAATGGCGTCAAGTAGGTAGTTGGTTCCCACGTGCCGGTTTTTTACGTGGTGGCGTATAAGTGAGATGATGACAGGGCTACCGGCTGGCANAAAGCCCAGGGAAGAATTGTCCAGTCTCCCTCCCACGCGTAGCAACCCTTGAATCAGTATAGGGTTCAGGTTACGCAGTGCGCTCCGTTGGATCGCGGAAGGGTTTGGTGCTTCCCTGCGTTCGCTTGTGGAGTCATTGTTTCGAGGGGGAAATGCTACAGTTGCACTAATCTCACGATGTTGTGCGCCGCTCTCAATAGGTCTTCCGTCGATAAAGGTCCCACAAGCAGCGGTTCGTTAGGCCGGAATCCGGTCATGATCATGTTTAAATCTTATCCACAAAGCGACGGAACGAATCAACCTGTTCCAGGACGAGAAGCTTTCCAGTTTCCTTAGCAAGGTGGAGGTTACGTCGTTTTCCACCGTCATGATTAGCCGTTTTGGTTCTAACAACTCAACGGGCGCGGGGTTGCAAGCTCTGTACTCTTGTCCTTTGATGCAGCGGTCCGGAAGGTCAGACCTCCAAGCCAACCGCGTAGCTTGTCTAATGATTTCAAACCTCGGGAGAGTGGTCGGTTGGGTTATCCGCAGATTTCACGTACCGCCTTTGGTGCACCTTGGTCTCTTCGTGCACTACCGTCAAACAAAGGTGCTGAACCTAGTGTTGACATCGTTCACATAGTGTTTTACAATGGTGGAGTCGGCCCGGAAATTGACGCGTTCTTCGAAAGTACGAAAGCATTGTCGCAACTCCTTGACTATACGCACCGCTAGCACGGCCGCGGTCAATTCGAGGTGGGGTATCAAAACGCATTTTAATGGAGCGACCCGGGCTTTGGCAAAACTTAATTCTGTCTTGTGCTCACCGTTTACATGCTGCCAACATACGTAGACTTCTGCTCCGTATCCCGTTTCAGACGCTTCGAATAGGTGCAGTTCGCCCTTCGTCGCTTGATTGCTCCGGCTGAGTCGGCGCGGAATCCGTATCTCACCTAGCTTACTGAGACTGGTAACTATTGCTCTCAATCCGTCCGGTCCTGATGGTCTAAGGGTTGATCCCACTCTGTCGTTTCTCGACAAAGTTGTTGAAGGAGGACCTTTCTCGACAACAACAATGGCGCGACAAACCCGAGCTAGTCGTATACGCTGGATACCGCCGACAGCAGCCCACGTCAGGTGGGATTCCACGCGGGTAGCTTTAGTTGAAAGATGGACTCGTCTGACTCCGCGCTCCATCGCACCCCCAAGGTCGACCAGATAGGGAGTGGCTGTGTGGTCAGGTTGAGAGCCCAACTCGCTCTGTCAGTTTCAGGCACGTTGTCTAAAACTAAACGTCAGTCAGACAACCATTCAGTTTGGCGGAACCCCCCTTTCTCCAGTGGATGATTCAGCTGCATTGAGTGTTGAGAAGCTTGTCTTGGGTCGTCAAAGGCGCCCAGGAAGTCGTCGACGTAGACATTATTTGCAAAGCTAATGGACACCGAGGCCGGGGAATTGTTTTCGTATTGCGAGGCTATCCGGCGAAGTGCGAAGTTTGCGCAAATGGGCGAGGAAACCGCTCCGAATGGATGAACGGTCAGATTATCGTCTACCACCGGGTTCTTCAAATCACCATCGGGCCACCATAGCAGTCGCAGGACGTCGCGCTGATCCTCTGGTATCTTGGTTTGGAGGAACATCTCTTGTACGTCAGCCTTCACCGAGACTGCTCCAAGCCGGAATCGGTTGAGCACGTCAATCAAGGGAGTGATCTTATCCGGTCCCTGCAACAGACAATCTTTAGGGGAAAGGCCACCATACCGCACAGTCAAATACCACGCGTATCTTCCCTGGCTTTCTGGGATGTGGCAAGTACCACATTCTTTGCCCGCGTGGTTGTGAGACGTCCAACCGTTCTATGTATTCCAGTTGAACGTTCCGTTGCAATGGCGCAGCCTATGGTCGACGGAGATCTGTGTTGCGGATTAGTCGCGTTTTAAGGTACTGTAACCTTTTTAAGGCTATCCAGCGATTGTCCGGCAATCGTTGGATAGCCTTACGCCATGGCAACGGCACCTCAAACTGATCGGACTGGCACCGTGTCCCTGGTTTGATTATTGCTAACGCCTGGTTGTCTTCTACGGATGGTCTCCCTTTCTGGTAGCTCAAGTTGTCGAACTCATTATCATACATCCTTTGGAGAGCTTGCTCGATCGTATCGTTGTTAGCGGTGGTGGTAGTAAAGTTAACTGGTAACGGTTTACGGTTCGCCGCGTGAGGCGGTCCAAACAACGTCTACCCAAACGTAGCGCGACCAGCATACCTCCCAGTCTCTGGTCCAGGATCCCGTGTCCTTCGGGCACGTCACATCCTATTAGCAAATCGACTTCGGGAGAGTTGGCTTCTCCAAAACACAAGTCTCGTAGGTGCGGCCAACGCATTGCTAATTTCCCGATCGATTCATCGCTCCCATCGGCAAGTCAGCGATGGTAAAAGCTTTCGTCACCTCTACTCGTTCCCCATTGTCTAGCAAAACCAACGTCACGTTTGATTGATCGGCGGACGTCACCTTGGTGCCGTTCACCATGCTGATCGTCAGGGAAGATGGTCGTGTTGTGATATTGGGGTTGACGGTGAAGCGTTTGGTGATCAACGTGGTATCGGATCCGTTGTCGATGAACGCCATCGCATTTACTACCACTCTCAGTGTTATTATGCCCACTGGTGCTAATCCGAGGCGTATCTGCTTGTCCGCCGATAGAGACAGTAGACATAGACTGGGTTTTAGGGGTACTGATAACTGGATTTCTCTTACAGAATGCAAGAGAGTAAGCTGGCTTCCTTGACACCCCGTTTCCTTGCATCTGCTACGGTTTCTACAAGCGGCCG